GTAATCCACAATATTAATGAGTTAACATTGGAATTCTACTGGATCTTTAGTCTCAAATTAATGTCCCTCCAGTGATGGAAATCTCAACCCAACTATGTCTACTCATTCTATTCTTTTCACATTGCACTAGTGCAGCAAGTAAGTTGTCCATCACTTGTACTTCTCTTTTGCTATATACACTGGCTTGTCATTTGTTACAGTAAAACATTTCTGTTTTTCTTGTCTAGTTCCTCATTTGTAGTACATTTCAGGCTGTTCATAACTCAACTTACACTCTCCACAAATTGTAGTACGTGAATGTGATAGAGTTTTACTGTGGGTTAAGAAACAATAGAAAACGATACAAGGAGACATGCAAAGACTTAATGAAAACAATATGCACAAAGATACTACAATATCAATAGAATGTCCAAACAGCGCTGTAGGGTCATAATGACTAAGCTTGACTCTGAAGAAGAGAGATGAGAATATAGTCTCCTTTCTTCTCTGTAGAGGAGGGGTACTATGGATGTGGAACACTGCATAATATGCTTCTGCTTATTCTTTTTAAAATAATGAACCTGTGATTTTGTCAGTGTATAGAGCTTCTGGTCAGGAATTTCCTCTACCCCCATAAGTCAACACTTTCTCTTCGATGTATATAGCTTGGGGGTTGCCAGGGGCACTGAGAATTGCCCAAGATTACACAGCCAGTACGTAACAGAGCCAGTACTTCAGAATGAAAAATAAATAAAAAACCAGACAAATATTTAATAACTTGAAATCTTCATGTAATGCTTTTCAGAAGTTATTTTGACTAAAGGGTTGAGAATGCCTGGATTCATTCTTCCTATATTTTTCCTCATTTTATCAACATTATTTATGTTTCGAGTGGACTGTATAGTATAAGTTTGATTTTTTTTTTAACCACAACCAAACTCAGACACAAGTTTGTAACCTGGATCATAATTATTAAATAAAAATGAAAAAGAAACTAGCTGAGTGACCCTGGGCAAGTTATTTAACCCTATTACCTAGCCAAAGAAAAAGAGAAAGAAAAAATCCTTGTAGTATTGAGGTTATAATAGGTCTCCTAAAGTAATTGAATCCTCTTTTTTCCTTTTTTGATTAATGATTTTTGTCACCACATTTTTTTTCCTGAATATATATATCCCTTCCCCTTCACCTATCCCAGGATCATTTTCTTGTTATCAAATCCTAAAATAAAAAAGAAAGTGGAGGGAAGAGAAGCAGTTTAGCAAAACCTACCAATGCAAGTTGCACAGTCTGACAGTGTATTATTGCATGCTAATTTTTTTTTTTAAAGAAGCTAGCAGGGGGCAGCTAGGTAGCACAGTGGATAGAGCACTGGCCTTGGAGTTTGGAGGACCTGTGATCAAATGCTGCTTCAGACACTTGACACTTAGTAACTGTGTGACCCCGGGGCAAGTCACTTAACCCCATTGCCTAGAGTGAAAAAAGAAAAAGAAGCTAGTTATATTTATACCCAATAAGTTAATATATCCATCAGAAAATGTGTAGTAGTACTCATTTATATAGTGCTTACTATGTACCAGGCACTATTCTGAGCAGTTTATAAATATCTTACTTGACCCTCACAACAATAGGGCTGGGAGATAGATGCTGTTTTATAGATGAAGAAATTGGGGCATGTAGCATTGTGACTTGTTCAAGGTCACATAGCTAATAAGTATCTGAGGCTGGATTTCAACATAGGCCTTCCTGACTACAGGGCCAGCACTAAAGTGTAGTGGCCACTTCATCACTTAGCTTCTCCATACTTACTGTGATAGTAAGTTAATGGGGGGGGGGGCGCGCTAGTTAATGGCTAAACATATTGTGGCACATGAATATAATAGAATCTTACTGTGCCATATAACTATGTATATGACATACAGAGACAGACTTACCTGAACTAACACAAAGTGAATTAAGTAGAAATGAGAAATAAACACAATGACTTCATCAATGAAAATAGAAAGGAGGGAAAAAACAACAGGACAATGAAAACTGAATGCCACATAGTTGTAATATTCAAGCATGGCCCCCAAAGAGGAGATTTGAGAAGGTACTCTCTCTTGCTTCTTTGCAGAGGTGGGGTCTTGGGTGTGGAAACTGCATATAATGTCAGATGTTTTCAAATGTGTTGGTTTTACTGAGCTATATTTTTTCTTTCTTTTTTTTTTAAAGACATTCTTTCATTTGAGGAAAATTTTGGGTAGGATTCTCCAAATATGACCTTTGTAAACGTTGTCTTTGAAACCAACTTTGTACTGATTTGGTCATATCTGATATACTTTTTTATAGTGACTCAGTGCTAAGTTCTCTAGTCCTCTGCATTTCTCAGTTTAACTAATTACTAGGTTGTTGTTACATATGTTCTCTTAAGTGTACTAAATGTTTCAAGTAGTTCTCTGTATTTGTGTTATGGTATATAGTCAGCATTAGTATATATTTTATCTCATAATGTGAGGTTTTTGAACTTGAATACCATTTGAAATGTGTGCCTTTTTTTTTTTAAGGCAGTTGGAGTTAAGTGACTTGCCCAGGGTCACACAGCTAGTGTCAAGTGTTTGGTCTGAGGCCGGATTTGAACTCAGGTCCTCCTGACTCCAAGGCCGGTGCTCTATCCAAGGTGCCACTTAACTACCCTGAAATGTGTACACCATTTGAGTACCATTTGAAATCTTTGAAAATATTGCTAATTTTCTCACTACGATCTGCTAATGGAGAATCAGTTTAGTATTATGTATTCTAGTTATGTTAGAGTATTATTTTATTATATATAAATATGTTATATTTTAGTATTCATTAAAAGTGTCTTATAGTATTTTATATTTGCTTGGAGTTTTTCCTAAATGTGAATCCTATCATTAATGACTATTGCTAGAATGCGCAGTAAGTTTAGCTAGAATAGTATGTTAATTGCTACCTTTGCTACCTTCTTGAATAATCATAGTGTTGTTGTCCCTGACTAATAGATGAGTACTGAGAGAAATTTTTAGAACCTCAGATGAATATAGTTGGCTGTATACTAGTTATAAATATTTGTCATCTATTAAAAACTTCAGTATTAATAATTGTATATTTTTTGTTGCTTGTTTTCTGTTCATTTGTTGTTTCTGAATGTTTCGTATATGCTGTGGTCAGAAGTCCAGAGGAATTTTGAGTACAAATCATTATAGTATTGTACTAGGAGTTAAGAACTTGGTTTGAGTCCTGGCAAATAGCTTAACTATTAATCTTTAATTTCATCATGTATATCAAGGAAAGTAACGTTTACATTATCCAACTCACTGTGTTGTTATGAGGTTCATATAATTTATAGATCTAGAAGAAAAGACCTTAAAGACCATCCGATGAGATAATAGATGAAAAATACAGTGCCACACCGTGTATAAATAATAGATATTAAACTTGTGACCCACAAAATTCCTGAGTCCCAATTGGTACCACGTTAAAATATAATTGGAAAATGTTTAACCAAATAAATAAAAATATAATAAACCAAAGATAATAATTTGTGGTTTTCTAAGTCAGTGTGCTGGTGCAGGATCCCTTTGTTTCTATTTGAATTTGATACCACCAGTTTCTGTAATAGTGCTGTTTCTTTTTATTATTCCCTAGAAAAGCTTATATGTCTAAGCCAGGCTTAAACTATAGTTTTATATGCTATATTTTAATATTTAACTGTTAATGTTCTATCTGTAGTTTATTAATTAGAGTCAAATAGAGCTTGGTCTAGAACAACCTGTGATACTAGCCTAGGGCTTCTTACTTTTATGTATTTTTTTCTCAGAGTTTTATTTATGATCATTTTTGTGGTGGTGTTTTTTAAAAAGTGAATCATAACTTGTCCTCTTTTGCTTTACATTTAATGAAGAATTACCAACCCATCCATACATTGCCATTTGAAGCCAGAGAATACCTTTAGATGACAGTGTACTTTAGTCCCCTCACAGTAACTCTGAACATCCCACATAATTAGGCACTGTCCTCAAAATTATGGACATTATGTTCTATGCTGCATTAAAATAAACACATGGATCTCCATCAGTGTCACAGCCTGCTACTGACTGTTTAAAAGGTCATTATAAACATGGTTTGTGCAGTTTGGTCATTCATTCAACATTGTTTGAGCTCCCAGTCATTCTCTACTGGCATCGTGACACTAGGCAGCAGAGAGAGGAATGAAAGAAATGGAAGACTTCATTGAACTTCAGTGGAAATCGACATGCACGTGAAAACAGTTAACAGTATTCTATATCAGTATTCAAACTGGTGTGAATTTTCTACTACTGAAAATGAGATACAGACAGAATAAATCTCTCAAGATACAGTTAAGGGGATATTCAAAATTGAGTGTAGTAAGCCAGGTTGTTTCAGTTAAAAACTAGAGCTATTCCAAATGATTATTTATAAAATTAAAGACTGTTATCCAGAATTGATTTTGTATTTATCCTTTGCCACTCCACAATCATTTGATTTTCCCATCTATCCTCTTTACTAGTAAAATTTTAAAAATAATTTTCCTTGTTTATGATTTATTGCTATATTTTTAAATGAACATTTCAACGTGATTAATTCCTAACTAAATGCTATTTGGGACAGACTGTATTTTGGGGAAGATTTTGCCTTTATAATAAACTTGTATTTATTATAAATGCAATTTTGGTAGACTTTCATTGTAACTTTTAATGAGAAAACTGAATTATGACCAGGCTCACATGGCTTGTTTAAGTCCTTTTGTCTTTCCTGTCTTGTGAGAAAAACAATTGTGTTTTTCTTGGTTAACTGCAGCTATTGCTGTTATTATAACAAAATAACCTAAGGAAACCTATCATCCTCAGATTGTATTTATTGTCCATAGCATTGACTTGTCAGTAAATCAGACAACAGAGTTCTTTTCTACATTTGTGTAAACATGATTTGAAAGAACAAAACAGGATTAAATAAAAATCGTTTTCTAAAAAGCATTGGAACTCTTTGTTTCCAAATAGGCTGCTACATGTTCGAAATGGAAACTGTAAATATCATTTGGGTGAAGAAACATTCAAGTTAGCTCAATCTTACATGGACAAGCTTGCAAAACACGGCCAGCAGGCAAACAAAGCTGCTCTCTATGGAGAATTATGTGCTTTACTCTTTGCAAAAAGTCATTATGATGAGGTGAGTATTCTTGGGGTAGTGGTGGGTGGGATTTAGATGTACACATCCTAACTTGTTGCAGAGTACACAAAACCATTCATCTTTTTATTGAAGAAAATGAAACTTTAGTCTTTTTTCAGCAGCTATGCAGTATGTGTTCCTGAAAATTTTAGTGCAAATAAACATTTTATAAATAAAATTAGCATCTTGAATTCATAAGAACTTATTTTTAAAGTCTTATAAAGCAAATAACTATCCCTTTTGTTATTTGTCTTATAAATCTAGATTTTTCACATATTAAGTTTGACACAGCTAACATATTGAAAGTCAGTTAATCTATTATTTTCAGCCATTACACACACACACACACACACACACACACACACACACACACACACACACACACACACACACACACACACACACACACACACACACACACACGGAGTCACGAAGTGTTGGTTCCAAGTCATGGCTATTATACTTAATAACACTGTGACCATAGGCAGGGACCAGGGGTGGGAACCTGTGGCTTTCTAGGTCCTTGGGTCCAGCCATTGGACTGAGTCCGAGTTTACAGAACAAATCCTTTTATTAAGAGGATTTGTTCTGTGAAGTTTTGATTCAGTCAAAGGGCCACACTTGAAGACCTAGAGGGCCACATGTGACTTTGATGCTGCAGGTTCCCCACCCCTGCCCAAGATTGTTAACCTCTCTCAAGCCCCAATTTCTTCATAAGTAAAATTGGGCTAATAGCCCACTTTATAAATTTTTATAAGGAAAATTGTAGGTAGTTTTTTATTTATTGCTATATTTTTAAATGAACATTTCAACATCATACATTCCTAGCTATTTTTGAGCGGGCTGTATTTTTGGAAAAGTTTACTTTTATAATAAACTTGTATTTATTATAGATGCAATTTGGGTAAAATAAAACTTTTAATGAGAAAACTGAATTTTGACCAGGTGTAAGTGGTTTGTTTACATCCTTTTTTCTTCCTGTCTTGGTTAACTGCTGTTGCTTGTAGTACTAGTCAAACTTAGATAAAGCTTATCTCTGAGGGAATGTTTTGTTTAACTACACCTGTTTAAAACAGGTTTTGTTTTTGTTTCTTGCTTTGGGTGGGAGAGAAGTTGCATTTTCTTTGATTGAAAGAATATTTAATTAAAAAAGGAAAAAATGTTAAGTGATTTTAATTTTTTAAATTTAAACTAAATTAAGAAACATTTTAAGCCATTGGTAACAGTCATGGATGGGTTGGGAGGTGGCCCTTGGTATCACAGAGAGGAACTTTACTGGTCATAAGCCAACAAAGTTTTATGTAGATTTCAAAATTTCGTGTAGTCATTTAATTCTAGGAATTAAATATGAATATATATATATAGAGAGAGAGAGAGAGGAATTAAATATGAATATATATATATAGAGAGAGGAATTAAATATGAATATATATATATATATATATATATATATATATATATATATATATATAACACAAATATAGATTTCTTGAAAGGGAAGTTAAAATCAGGATAATAAAAATGATTATAAATAAAGAATAGTCTTTGTTTTTGTCAATATGCTATTTTTCAGCCAGTTACTCCCTCATTTCTGTTGTCCTTAGTCGTACTATGTTGGCATCTTACTATTAGAAATAATCCTATTTATATCCCTTCATGCAGTTGTTTTGCCTATAACATTTTTACTTTTAAACAAGAGCAATTCTTTCCAGTTAAGAATATAGTTTGTTCAAAACTGAGAAAAATGAGTGTTATGTGGAGCAATTGTATTTATCCTAGAATTATTTCTGAATTGTGCTTTATTTTCATTTTTTTTCCCCTTGCCTCTATTTCTTTATATCATGTCTCATTCTCCTAAATAATAACATATTCATTAAATGCTTTTGTTCAGTTTATGCTGCTTATGTAAATATTTATCTTGTGTAGGCTTATAAATGGTGCGTAGAAGCTATGAAGGAAATCACAGTTGGATTGCCAGTCAAAGTAGTGGTGGATGTTTTACGACAAGCTTCAAAGGTGAATTTAAAGTTCATTTGTTAGTTCGCTTAAAAGTACTTTCATACTTTAAAAAAACACTATTGACTTTGTAACATGGTATTTTTTCCTGGTAAACCATGGCAGAGTAGTTATTTGGCGACTTAAAATCTCCTAGTATAGGGGCAGCTAGGTGGCTCAGTGGCTCAGAGCACCAGCCCTGGAGTCAGGAGGACCTGAGTTCAAATCCAACCTCAGACATATAACTAGCTGTGTGACTCTGGGCAAGTCACTTAACCTCAGATGCCTCACCAAAAAGAGAAAAAAAATCTTCCAGTATAGAACTTAACTAATTTTTATCATAGTTTATACACAAAATGCAAAGTATTTCACCCTGGCAGTACTGTTAGATCGTTGAATCAGAAGCAAAAAAAAAAAAAATGTTTTTCTACCTCTACTCGACTGAGAGATTTCAAATAGTTCCTGTCACATTGTGGTTGATTGCTTCTTCTGCCAAAGTAATTGGTTGGTGTGTATGTACCCTCCCTCCTTTTGAATGAACTATTTTTGTACTATTTTTGGTATGGATGGAATTATGCTGATTAGTTTTGTATGCTTGGCCATTAACCTTTGTCTTATTTACTCTTGTGCCATCTTCTTCAGCTAGATCTTGCCAATGAGCAGATTTTCCCAGGGAAGGTGAAATGCTTGGAGAAATGCATTGACCCTTTAAGGATAAGGATGATTTGGTTGACTATAGTTTAAGAAACAAACGCACCCTGTCAATTCATGAGCAATGCTTTTATTTATAAGCCTTTTGTAAGTGCTTGCTATATGCCAGGCGCTGTGTTATGTAACATGGAATATAAAGACAAAAGGAATACGGTGACTGCCTTCCGGGAGTCTACCTTATAATAGAGGAAAATAACATGAACTTTGAAAAAAAATAGATTTACTTGTCTTTCAATTCTATCCATCTCCCCATTGGAAAAAATAAAGCAAGAAAGAGAAGAAAAAATCCTTGTAAAAATAATATGCATAATTGAGTGAAACAAATTCCCTCTTTGGCCATATCTGAAAAAATATTTTCATTCTATACCTTAAATCCATCACCTCTCATCATGGGTCCTTTGGAATGGTTGCTAGCTATTGCATTGATCAGAGTTCTTAAGTCTTTCAGAGTTGTTTATCTTTAAATTGTTATTACAGTTCTCCTGATTTTACTCCCTTCACGCTGCATTATTAATTGATGCAAATCTTCCCATCATTTCTTATGGCACAGTATTATTCTGTTACCTTCATTTATGCAGTTGATGATCCACTCCTCAGTTTCTACTTCTTTTCCGTGACAAAAAGGCTACTATAAATGTTTTGAACATTAGGGTTACTTTTTCTCTTGCTTTGATCTCTTTGGGGTGTCAGTGGGTCAAACGATATGCCTAATTTACTAACATTTTTTGGCATAGTTCCAAATTATTTTTCATAATGTCTGGACTAATTAATATCTCTTCCAACAGTACATTAATGTACCTGTTTTCCCACAGCCCCTCCAAAAATTATCATTTTCCTTTTTTGTCATCTTTGCTTTGAAAGGTATAGATTATAGGAATTGGAGATTGGCAAACTGAGAATCAGAATGTAATTTGAAGACCCTAGGTATGAGGATTGAGAAATAGGGCTAAATACTGAACTCCTTGAGAAAGGAGGGAGAATTACCTGGTGGTTGTTAGATAATAGCTGCTAGGAGGTAAGGAGATTTAGAGGTTATCCAGGATCAAATAGGGCAATATATCCAAATGAAGTAAATTTCAAAGGAGAAAAGGTTATAAAGTGACAGTGAGAGAATCTGGAAGTGATGGTGAGGAGCCAGAAGTATGTTTACTCCTAAAAGGCTCAGAGTGTGAGTGAAAGTGCTAGAGAGAAGGAAGGTCTCAAGTAATTGCAAGGAAGTGAAAGGGCAGTTTGTTACCACCGAAATGGTTTTTAGAGGCACAATGGAAGGGAAGAGAATAAGGTAGGAACATTGAAGAAATGAAACTAGCATGGCTACAGGTGAGCAAGGAAGAGAGATTCTGCCTTGGTAACCTGAGTTTTAGCCATAGAGATTTTGAGTAGAATTAGAAGACAGAAAAATTACTAACTATTAGATGAGGGAAGGGGGTGGCAGAACCAAGATGGTGGAATGAAGCCAAGTACTTGCCTGAGCTCTCCCAAGTTCCTCTCCATACAACATTAGAATAACTCCTCATAACAAATTCTGAAGTAGCAGAACTAGCAAAAGGATGGGGTGAAATGATTTTCCAGCCTAAGACAACTTAGACAGTTGGCAGTAAAGGTCTCTTTCACTGGGGTGACAGTGGAGCACAGTGCAGCTCAGGCTGCACCTTAGGAAGCCAGCAGTAGGCCATGGGGGAGACTAAATCAGATGCAGCAGCTTCCAGAGCTCTCAGCCCATAGATGGTAAAGGAGAGTCAGACAACTAGTTAGAAGGAGATTATATAGGACCTTTTGCTGGTACGAGGAGCAAGACTCAGTTTTATTGTCCATACTTGGTTCTGAGTCATAATCCCAGGGAGAGGAAGAACACTAGCAAGAGTCACAATTGGTCATAGTTGCAGGGGAGAAAAGAATGCTTGTGATCACTCAGAGGCCAGGAGAGCAGTGACCACACCTCTCCTTAGATCATAGTAAGGACTTGGAAGAAATGAAAATTTAGATGCCACCATCCCAACTCCTCAGAACTAGCACTGAAAACAGCAACTCAGAAAAATCTGAAGCTTGGGACAGTGCCCCCTCCACCCTGGGAGCAGAGCCAAACTTTGACATAAAGTTAAAAGTCAAGAAATTGGCTGGGAAAACGAACAGCAAACAACAACAACAAAAGAACCTGACTGTAGAAAGTTACTAAGGTGACAGGGAGGATTATTTAAACACAAACTCAGAAGACAGTGATGTCAAAACATCTCAATGCAAAGCCTGAAAGAAAAGTGTGAATTGATCTCAGCACCCCCACCCCCAAAAGGGTTTAAAAACTCAAGAGAGGTAGAGGAAAAATAGCACCTTAAAAAACAATAAGCCAAATGATAAAAGAGGCGCAAAAATCCACTGATGAGAAGAATGCCTTAAAAAAAATGCAATTGTCGGGGCAACTAGGTGGCCCAGTGGATAGAGCTCCGGCCTTGAAGTCAGGAGGACCTGAGTTCAAATCCAGTCTCAGATGCACAGCACACAGTATATACTAGCTGTGTGACCCTGGGCAAGTCACTTAACTCCAATTGCCTGGCAAAAAGCAAAAAAAAAAATTATTCTGTTTGCACAGTTGTCGAAATAGAAAAAGATGTACAGAAATTCATTAGAGAAAAAGACTGCTTAAAAAGTAAAATTGGCCAAATGAAAAAGGATATACAAAAACTCACTGAAAAAAATAATTACTTAAAAATTAGAATTGGGCAAATGGAATCTAATGAGTCCATGAGACATCAAGAAACAATAAAACAAAAATCAAAAGAATGAAAAAGAAAAGAGGGAGAAACAAAGGAATAAAGTAGGATGGAGGGAAGTACATAGTAATTATAACTGCAAATGTGAATGGAATAAACTCACCCATAAAATGGAAGCAGATAGCATGGATTCAAAACCAGAATCCTATAATACGTTGTTTATAAGAAAAACACACTTGAAGCAGAGAGACACACCTAGAATAAAGATGTAAGGGACTGGAGCAGAATCTGTTATGCTTCAGCTGAAGTAAAAAAGATAGCAATGAAAGCAGTCATGATCTCAGACAAAAAAAAATAGATCTAATTAAAAGACAAGCAGAGAAGCTACATTTTGTTAAAAGATACCATAGACAAGTAACATCAACACTAAATTACATAAACATGTATGCATCAAATGGTATTGCATCCTAATTACATTATATTTAAAAGGGTTTGCACAAATAAAACCCATGTAGCCAAGATTAGAAGGAAAGCTAAAACTGGGGGAAAATTTTTACAGCAAGTTTCTCAAAGGCCTCATTTCTCAAACATACAGAGAGCTGAGTTGTTTATAAGAAACATAAGTCATTCTGCAAATGATTAATGGTCAAAGGATATGAACACAGAAGAAGAAATCAAAACTATTTATAGTCATATGAAAAATTTATGTAAGTCACTATTGATTAGAGAAATACAAATCAAAACAACACTAAAGTACTACCTCATGCCTATCAGATTGGCTAATATGTCAGAAAAGGAAAAGGACCTCTATGTCCAAAAATATTTATAGTAGCTCTTTTTGTGGCATCAAAGAATTGAAACCAAGTAGATGCCTATCAATTCAGAAATGCCTGAATTAGTTTTTGTATATGATCTTAATGGAATACTATTGTGCTATAAGAAATGACAAGCAGGATGCTATCAGAAAAACCTGGAAAGACTTAGATGAGCTGATACAACGTGAAGTGAGCAGAACTAGGAGACCATTGTACATAGTAACAGCAGTATTGTATGGTGATCAACTGTGAACCCAAAATTTTAAAAACTAATATTAAAAATTATTTTGACATATAATTAGAAAAAAACAAAATATGCAGTTTAGAAAAAAGAAAACAAGATTTCCTTCAGGAATACAATTTATTCAAACAGTTACATTTTGGATTCAAGAGCTATGTCTATGGTTGTAATTTCTTCGAACTTTGAGAGTATTTTTTAAAAATACCATTATTAAGACCTAATTACTTCATGAGCCATATAAATGACATAAATGCTAATATTATAAAATGTAAACATGTGTTTGATCCAAACAAATGGTATATGTTAATGAATGAAAAAAAAAAGATGATTACAAGGAAAAGATTCCTAAGAAGCTCCCTTCACAGTTCAAAACACAAATGATAAAACAGTAGAAAAAACTTTAGAAGCTGGCAAAAACAAAGGTTAGTACAGCAAATCTTAGATCAAAATGAAAAGATTGTGTAGAGTGAACATATTAGTATAATACCAAAATAGATAATGAAATTTAGACTAAAGTGGAAGGGAGTAAAGATCAATATGAACTGTTGTGTAGCTGGCTTGTGATTGTAAAAGTCTGCATAACACCTGCTGCGTTGAACTTTGAAGATATCCTTGCAGGATGGGACCAACAACTTCATTATGGACATTATTCAGAATGGCCTTCTGTTAGTGTCTAAGTGGGACTAGCTTGCCGCCTTGGCCATACTCTGTAAGCTGTGTTCTTAGGGATAGTTTGCTTTTGTAAACAGCAGAAGTGTATAAATCATATTCTTTGTGAAACATAGTTTTTATTTTACCCCCCCCAATTTTTTTGTTCTCAATTTTGTTTTTAATATCAGTTATTTTAGCCATTTATGCTGAAAATATTTAATGGTTTTTCTCCCTCAATCTTTAGGCTTGTGTAGTAAAACGTGAATTTAAGAAGGCAGAACAGTTAATAAAACATGCAGTGTACTTAGCACGGTAAGTGACCATTATTAAAAGTACATTTCCCAAAAAAAGTACATTTCCATATAATAAATACAGACTTCAGTGAAAAATTTTCTCAAAGTATTAAGAGAGGAAAATAGTATTTTAAAAATACATCCCTTAAGCCCTTGGATTCTAATTTTGCATATTTTTACAGGGAACATTTTGGAGCCAAACACCCAAAATACTCAGATACACTGCTAGATTATGGATTTTACTTACTCAATGTAGATAATATCTGCCAGTCTGTTGCAATTTATCAGGTATGTTAAAAATTCACAATTCTTTTTTTTCCCTTGTATTCCCCCAGTATAATCTGTTTGCAAATCCTTTGTTTTTGTAACCCCATGTAGTTAGCAAATAATGGGTCTGGTCCAGCTGGTAACAACTGTCTATGAATAACTATTTTTCAGTTCCCTAGAAAAATTCTCTTAAGAATAAACAGCTTATTTCATTAGAATAATTTTTGTTGTTAGATGAAAGCCACTATTATAATTAAGCCCTTGACATGAATAGATAGAAGTATCTTCCTTTCATTTGCCATGATGATATTGTTACCTGTTAAATTTTGCTTTAGAGTTATTGAATCAATATTATTATGGTTACCCTAATTCCTTCTAGGAAAACATAGCTATTATTAAGTGGTCAAAGTATACAAGTTGCCCTTCTTAAGAAGTAGAACAAAGTCAGCTTCATAAAGAAATTCCTACATGAACATTTTTGTAAGTTCATTCCTTACCCTTTAAGTCAAAATGTCTTCAGAAATTGAACCTATGCATGTCTACCTTCAGTTGTATTTTAAAAAACAGTACATCATGTTTGGTTTTAAAATGTAAGGAGCTGTAATGTGTATACTATATGACTCATAAAACATGAATAGTAATATGTAATTTCCTATAACCATGTATACATAACTGTTATGATTAGTTAAATTGGATAGTGATTTGTAAGTATCCTTGATTAAGTAGGGTTTCTTTTAACAAACATTTTAGACAGCTCTTGATATTCGACAGTCAGTATTTGGAGGAAAAAATATCCACGTAGCCACAGCGCATGAAGACCTGGCTTATTCATCTTATGTTCACCAGTATAGTTCTGGAAAATTTGACAATGCACTGTAAGTACTTAAATTCCTCTCCAGCAGAGGAAAAAATCCTGGAGGCCCATTGGAGGAGTAGTTTCGTCTAGTGCTTTTGGAAGAAATGTGCTTTACAAAATAAATTTATACTCCTCCACACCCCCCTGTTTTCCCGAAGTTGAAGAGAAATTGCATAGACACCCCCTATCCTCCCGCCCCCCACTGGATTTGAAGCTGTAGAACCTGGTTTCACATTCTAACTCCGTTATTGATAGGACCTGTGTGGCCTTGAGAGCAAGTATCTTAACATCTCTAGGACTGAGGTTCTTAACATTTTTTGTGTCTTGGACACCTTTGGGAGTCTTGGTGAAGCTTATGTGAATCCTTTCTCAAAATAATGTTTTTAAATACATAAAATGAATATGAATTACAAAGGAAACCAAATTTTATTATATTGAAATAGTTATCAAAATATTTTAAAAACAAAACATGGACAGTCTTCTTACATTAACAACCCCTGGGTTAGACATTATATCATAATGATCACTTCTAAGCAACTCAAAATTCTCTAATACTTGAACTTAATTGTTTTACAGAGTTGTGGGAATGCTTAGAATGTATTTCTAATCATTTAACATTACCATAGTTCATTTAGTTCGTAGGGTCGTAGATTTAGAGCTGGAAGGGATTTAAGAAGCTATCTAGGCCAACGTCTTCTTTTTTACGTATAAGAAACTGAGACCCAGAAAGGTTGTAATTTTCATAGGATCCTAAATCATTCTTCATTTAGATTTTGCATTTTAATGCTAATATGAGATATTCATATCCACATTTCCAAAGGATACCAAGCACATGTACAATGGAAATAATACAAAGTTTACTGTAACAAAAGGTACCCTGTCTTGCACCCTGTCCAAAAACCTTAATTTTTATATTGATAAAAGAGCCCATTAATAAGGTTATTTCCTCTGTTAATGAGGTGGTTAGCTGTCTAGTGAGGGCTCAAAGGATAGTGTTATAAATTTGTTGCTAAATTAAAAATAAAATTCAACAGATTGAGTTCCATCACTCTCCTTTTAAATGCTCAATAGGGTTCCTCACTATCGTGGTATTACAGATTGAAGATTTTGTTTTAAAGCTATTTGCTAATTGAATGTGAAATATATAATTTATGGGGCACCTAGATGGTGCAGTGGATAGAACACTGGCCCTGGAGTCAGGAGGACCTGAATTCAAATTCGGCCTCAGATACTTGACACTTACTAGCTGTGTGACCTTAAGCATTGCCTAGGCATGCCCCACCCCCCAACCCCCCAAAAATTATTTTATACATATATATGTGTGTGTGTGTGTGTGTGTGTGTATATATATATGTATATATATATGTATATATATGTGATTTAACTTTTTTTACAGATTCCATGCAGAACGAGCCATTGGAATCATCAATCATATCCTTCCAGAAGACCATCTTCTATTGGCTTCCTCAAAGAGAGTGAAAGGTACCTTTTCTAATTTGATTTATTAAGAGTTTAAAATGAAGGTTTTATGGCATTTAAGATTGGGATAACGATTTATTTCTTTTGGTCTGGTTAGACAGGCTGCTATATGTCTACTTTTTGTTTATTATATGCTAGGCAATACAAAATGTTACGTTTTAGATGATTGACTCCAAGTCTAATAAAGGACTTCTGGTGGTTAATAACAGAATTGTTGAGGAGCATTTAGATTAATTATATTTTCAGATTTTTTGGGGGAAATTATTTATTCTAATTGCATCAGATGATATAGATGTGATTGTTTTATTTTCTTGTCAGTATTTCTTAAATGTCAGACACTGGAAGTACCCTACATTAATTTTAATGTTAGGTCATTCTAACCTTATTACAAAACATGTGGTCAGATTTGTCTTTGTACCTCATCTTTTGAGCTTTTGTAGTAGCTCGAGAGAGTTGACTTCTTCAGTTACCTTAGAACAGTTATCTCAGAACCCAACAGTACATATGTTTGGGAATTCATTTCATTTCATTGATGTATGGTTAGTGATTGGATGTCACAACATGCGATTTCACAGGTTTTACTAGAGCTTTGCCAGCCAGTCCTTTAATATACATTTAAAATTTTTATTTAGTTTTGTCTTTTCTGCTTAAAATAATCTCACTGATAAATTTACACTTAAGCAAAATTCACCAAAATTGTGTGAACTAACTGTACAGTAGCTGCCTTAATTTTGACCTATGAAAAACTAAGAGCCTAATACAAGACTGTATAAAGTACAAATTTGTCATTGTTTTAAATGCCATATGTGAAATGGAGATTAAATGGTGACAAATATTAGGCGAATCTTTCAAAATATATTAACTGTTGGACAACTCTAAATCATTTTAGGCCATTCTTTAAAAAGAGAGAGAGAGAGAGAGAGAGAGAGAGAGAGAGTGTGTGTGTGTGTGAGATTTTGATAGATGGTATGAATTTCTGAACAATGATTTTGATTTTTAGCTGTGAAATACAATAATTTTGTTTCTTTTTTCAGCACTTATTTTGGAGGAGATTGCAATTGATTGTCATAATAAGGAAACTGAGCAGAGGCTGCTTCAGGAAGCTCACGATTTGCATCTGTCTTCTCTTCAACTAGCTAAAAAGGCTTTTGGGGAGTTTAATGTTCAGACTGCAAAACACTATGGCAACCTTGGAAGACTTTATCAGTCTATGAGAAAATTTAAGGTAGAGATGTCTTTAGCTAAAAAATCTTCCCTTGTGTACCTAAAACAGTGATTTTTGTGTAAGAGTATAATGCATTGTGTTTCCCTAGAACTATTAAACCACTCCAGAAATGCATCTGAAATAGTCAGTATGCACTGTGGCAGCACAATGACTTCAGAATGAAGGTGTTTTATGAACTTAATGGTTCCCCTTAAGCTATTAAACTTGAAAGCAAGTTATAACTTAGTTCCTTATGCCTGGAAATTTTCATTTGAAAACTAAATGGCACTTTGCCAGAGATTTTATAGAGGGATTAGACCTCTGGGCCCTTTCCACTCCTTAAAATTCCAAAAAGTGTTGTGTACTTCTGTATTTTGATGGATCTTCGCTTAATTATCTTTCAGGAAGCAGAAGAAATGCACATCAAAGCAATTCAGATTAAAGAACAACTTCTTGGTCAAGAAGATTATGAAGTAGCCCTTTCAGTGGGACATCTGGCTTCTTTGTATAACTATGACATGAATCAATATGAAAATGCAGAGAAACTTTACTTGAGATCAATAGCAATTGGTATGTCATTTAACTTCTTTCCAGTTCTCTCATTAAATTAAGCAACATGGCATACAGTATTTTTGATAAGAAGAATTACATTACAAAAGTTGTAATCATCTTAGAACTTCCATGGATAGAAACCACCACAGGAGTATACAAGAATTGTACAGTTTGCATAAATGGGACGCCTTTGCTTCACTTTTGGACCTAGTTTCTTTTTACCATAGATTATTCTGGGTTAGCAAATGATGTTTTAAACACTAGTTTAAAACAATCATAAGAATATGCTTTTAGATAATTCTTAAATGAAAAAAATAACTTATTGCTTTAAAATCTTTGCACAAATTGCACAACTTATATTTAATAACTTGTCACTACTTTCTTGTTCTCCACTGTCAGTATTGAACTTCATGTGGGAAAACATTAACTTAGAAATGTGAGGTGGTTGGCTGCCTTTTTTTCATTTGCTTGTCTATGAAGTTGTCTTTTTCTGATTGTCACTTAAAAATCTGATGCACCATTGGTATTTCAGCTATGTTGAATAAATAATTGTTGGAATTATGGTGATAAGGTAGTTTGATGATATCTTTCAGAACCGGGAAAGCTAAATAAGAAAATCTTTTTTCTATCAATGGCAGCATAAGTAAGTAATTTAGCCTTTTAGTCATTGATTCCTCTGTTAGGAATATTTCCTGACAGTGTTATAAAAAACAAATTTAGCTGGGTTTTCATCTTAAAAAAGAAAAATATAGGAAATTCTATTCATTTACTTTTTAAATTGGTAGGCAACACCACTATTTCTTATGCAACAAATGTGATATATACATATACATGTATATACATACAAATGCAGTTATACACATGCACGTATGTTCTCTCAGCCCTCCGTAGAGGATCCATTTTATATTCTCTCAAGATGACTTTGTTAAAGATAAAAGACTTACTTGAATTTTTGTGATTATAAATGTAAGTAGGACTATCCCATCTTGTTGTTTGCTCTAAAGGCTAGATGAAATGAAGCCCAGGGCCAAAGCCATCTTATGGGCTAAACGTTCCTTATTACCATTAAGTGGTTTCTTTATGTTTTCTCAGAAAAATTTGCCTCTTGTGAACTAACCACTTAAAGTAGTGGAAGTTAAAGCGCAGATATGACTGTAGAGCCATAAATAATGTCTAGTGTTTGAACTTTCAAAAGGATAAAATGAAGGCACCTAATATTAAAAACTGATTTGTTCTTATTAAATGCATAATTATAGTTTTGCCATTTTCTTATTTTACTTTATTTTTTTTAGGGAAGAAACTTTTTGGTGAAGGCTACAGTGGACTAGAGTATGATTATCGAGGTCTCATTAAACTTTATAATTCAATTGGCAATTATGAGAAAGTATTCGAATACCACAATATTCTTGCCAATTGGAACCGCTTGCGGGATCGTCAGTTTTCAGTGACAGATGCTCTGGAAGATGTAAACACCAGCCCACAGTCCACTGAAGAAGTGGTTCAATCTTTCCTGATGTCTCAAAATATTGAAGGACAGAGCTGCTGAGGGTGAACCTCAATTAACCAATTTACCTTTTCCCAGATTCCAGGGGAATTCATACTGTGAAATCAAAACCGTGTAGTTTTCTGGGGCTGGAATTTGCGTTGAAACACTGGTCCAGTCCATTGAAGACCCTGTTTGGGTAACCCCAGTCTCACAGAGTGCCCATAGGAATAAGCGCATATTCAATTTCTTATCAGCATGTACAGCATGTGTAGTAGTCTGGCTCACATTTTCAACCTAGTAGAACAAACACCAGAAGATCCTATTTTTTTCTTTTTCAAAGGAAGTCATTTTGCAGACAGCCTGCAAGAAAAACCCTAAATAAAACTATTTAAGAGTTTAAAAGAGTTGCATTCTTATTATGAAAGGATGATTTTAACAACTGTTTTTAACAAATAATTCTTCCATGTGGAGGTATTCAATACTGTATTGTAAAAAGATTTTATGGAAAACAGTCTTTATATGCAATATAGAAAAGTTAATCACAAGTACTAATGAAAGAAGGATGTCCTGACTTAGGTTTGACTGCCTTACCAAGGAAAGTAGAGAAGAACCATTCCAGAAACATGTTGTGAACCACACTATGTTGCAGGGGAAGGACTGTTAAATCATCTGAACTGGACCAGTGTTGAGCTGTAAGTAATAGAAGATCTGATAGACCAGCAATCTTAGGGGTTTTGATTTTTGTTGTTGTTTTTTGGGGGGTTCTTTTTTCTTTTTCTTTTTTGGTACAGCAAAAACAAGAAACTTTAATAGTATTTCATGACAGGACCAGGAGGATCTAAAGAGGACCAGTCTTTATAGCCTAAGGTTATTTGGACCAGTGGCTTTAATTTTTCTGCCCCTGCATATACACTTTACCAATAGGGTGATTTCGTTCAGCTGTATGATGATCAATGATATCCAAAAATTATATTCATGTAATAGATTTTTTAAAAAAATACTAGGAATGAAGTTAGCAGTGGCATGTCTTTAGTAAAGGTACACAAATTTTAATGTCATAAGTAACTGTAGAGATGCCTAAATATCTACTGCAGCCACCCCTTCCCCTACTACTCACTTTAAATAAGTTTACTGGTAATTGAGGCAGTAATATGTATCTGGCAAATAATTTTGTGGAAGAATCCACTTCTGTATATGGGGAGTGCATATCACTGTACATTTTGTAGCAGAAGGGGTCATTAAGAAGAGGGAGGAATAGAGGGAGGAATGCCCCCAAAGCACAATAGGTCTTTCAGTGATACTTCATTTCTGTAGTGAATAATCATACCACCAGAAACATTTTTGCTAGGAAAGAATCAGTCATTTATAAAGCTCTCCAACACTATATGCCTATTTCACTAGTTTGTCTTAATTTTTGTTTGTTGAGTTTTAAGGTGAATTTGTTTTTTAATTAAACCAGTCAGGTTATTTAATATTGAGGTAATATACAAATTTGAGAACGTTTATGTCATGTAGCAGTTTAGAAACAAAAAAGTCTTTTGCTGTTACCTCAATTCTTATTATAGTGGCACAAATTGTGCTTCTATAGTTAAGGGTCTGAGTTTTCCCCCCTATTTTCAGGGGTTTTCATGATTTGGTTGTTGAGATTTTACTCCTAGCTCAAGCTTGGAGTGATGCTTGTATGAGTGGTTGTGTTTTTGTTTTAGCATTAGGGGTGGGGTGGAAATCTACTTAAGGATCTCCCAAGTTAAGTGCAAAAAAAATTCAGCTAATGATTTCAGACACTTTAAATTACTCAGCATAGTTTTGTTTTAGGTTACTATTTTGCAGTTTATTAGTTTTGCAGGGAACTGGGGGCAGGGAAGAGGAATGCAGGAAAGATTCCTAATAAGAATGATACTAGCATTTAATATAGAAATTTGGTTTTACTAATTGCAAAGATGTCTTAATTTTTTAAATTATGGATTGATTGTATTGGCATATCAGCAAAACAATGTGGAACTGGTTCTAGTCATGCAATCTAATGTCAAAAGCCAGCTTTTTATAAAACCTGCTAGTTGTCTGTGTACCCAAGGGCTATAGTCTATTCAAGTTGTTCAGCTCTATCCTAATGAATAATAGTAGTTTTTTAAATTCTCCCAAAGATAACTTATAGGATAGACTAACACTTGTTTTGATCTATGAAGAGTCGTTTCTTGTGTTTGCAACATAGGAATGACTAGTGTAAATTGTTTTTCAACATGGTATTCCCATGCTTCAATATGAAGTTGTAAAATTAACCAATTTTTTTTTTAGTGGAAGGAATGGTTGGAGGGAGGGTTACACACATACATGTACACACACACATACACACTCCAAGAATTTAGTCAAGCAAAAGGCAGTTTCCTCAAAATTCATTGTCAGTTTCTGAATTTAACTTGGTCTGTGATAAAACACTGACCTACCAAAAATCTTAGCTCAGAGGGTGACATTTCAGGTGGTAGCACCCAAATGCCACTTCATTCAGAATGATGTCAGTATTTCCTGGGATTTTTGCTTTTTTCCTCAAAGGATATAAAACTGAGCCCTTAACATCACTTTGATGTAGGTTTACATGAACTCATTAACCTTCATGATTTAATGCAAACTTTCCCATTTTCAGAGAAAGAGAAAAGGTGAAAAGAAAGAGGGACTTGTCAGATTATTTTAGTGATTTCTGGTGTTAATGAGGAACAATTCCCTGATAAGCGTAAGGTTTCTCCTTTAATAGGGAAGCATTGTATGATTGAAAGAGATGAATGTGACCTTAATTTAAAGAGTGAAAGCCTCAATGAAATGAATTAAACTATTAAAGAGTGAAAGCCTCAATGAAATGAATTAAACTATCTGTTATGCTTACTCAGTGCTTGGAAAACATCTCACTTCTGTGAATTCTTTAACAGTTATTTTGTGTTCAAAAGCTTTAGGGTTTTGGGGGATGTTCCTATTCATGAGTGGACCTGGTTCTTACCCATCCCCTAATTTTATTCTTTCTCTTCCCCAGTCATCCATTTGAGGTTTTAGCACTGCTGAAGCAGAGCGTGTCTATAAGCACTCAGTTAACACTAGCCCACCTCATGCAGCCCTGCATTAAGATTAAAGGTTCACATATGTTTTCTTAGGCTGTAGGCTGTTATGGTTCCCCCAAGCCGGCTCTGCTTAGAGCATCTTTACCACCTATTACCAACAAATCTCTGCCGCAGCTTTGTAGAAGGACACTCACTCCTGTTTGTTATCTAGATACCTGTTGTTTAAACTTATTGCACACAAGGTGGATTTTTACTTGGGGTCGGGATTTACAAAGTTTTTGTTGGGCCTAACTTGTTAGGAAAAGTGGGTCATGGCTTAGGATGTCCTAAAAATGATTCCCCCAACTGCTGAATTGTGCTGCTTCTGTAGTACGGGACAGTGCATATTCTACTTTCTGTTATCCCATGTGCTGGCAAAGTACTGGGCAGAAAACACAGGCCTAAGATAACCAAGCTGCCAGCATAAACTTTATATGAAACAAGGATTCAGTGAGTAGCAAAGTGTATGAACTGCTCTTTGGTTTGCAAACTCCTATTATTTTGTTGCCTGTGCTGCCTACAAACTACTATTCATGGCAAAACTCTTTGCCAGAAAAATGCTTACTTAAATCCAGATTTACTTTTGAGGTTCTATTTTCTTGTCACAGAAATGAATGCACATTTAAACTTTTGGCTTTGGAGAATCTCAATTCTTGCCAAGAAAATAAATGTTTGAAAAAACCCTGAAATCTAGATTAATCACCACACTGAAGAGCACTAGGTATGCTTTTGTCCCCAAATCTCAGGAAAGTTTTAAGCAGTGAAACCAGTTTTTCCCTGTTGGTGATTTTCAAAGGAGTGTGCTTTAGGATTTTGTTTTTAATAAGACTGTACTTTAATTGCAATCTTAGGTATCTATAGCATGAGTGGCCTTAGTGAGTTTGTTGAAGTGCACATTTTATTCAAAGGTAAATTTTAAGATAAAAAATATATGTATATATATATACACTATATATGCTATATATATATATATATATATATATAGTGTGTATATATATGTATATATATACTATATATATAGATATCTAGAAAACTTGGTTTGTGGTGCACAAGTTAAGTGTTGGATCACTAAATAACTGTTGCAGGTACCATTTGTGTAACATTTTTCATTTATGTACATTTCTCTTATGGGAAGCTATGTTGCCATGGTAACTAAAACTTTACAATTTAGTTCTACTCTTACGGTGTGAAAGAATGCTACATTTATTAAATATTACCAGGTTCAGTACTATTTTTATACTTTATTGCTACAGGGGATTTTAATTTAATGGGATTCTTAAAAAAATAAAAGTAGTTGCTTGACTATTAAAAGCAACTTACTAAAAATACCTTATGTGAGAATCCCCACTAATAGTGCCACAGTAATTTATATAGACATACCTAGGTCATTACTAGATTTTTGAAGACAATTCTTTGTTGTGTCAAGAATAACCTTTCGTATCATACTTCGCACAGACTTGTAGTGCCCAACATTATTTGTAACCATCAAACCATATTGAGTATGTTTGTAACCAGCATTGTGATATTCTGTAATTGTATTGCTAAAAATGAATTATTGATCTAATAAATAGAGTGTTCCTGCATTTATAGTATCTGTTTCCAATTTAGTTGTGATTGTCTGATTTGGGTTGGGGGCCCTCTTTTATTTTTAGTTATTGTTCAGAGGCAGTGTGGTGTAGTGGAGAGAATCTGGCCTGTTTCTTTTGGTCTCAGTGAACCTTAGAAGACTATTGGCATGGTGAGTAGAAAGTTGGCCTGGGAGTCAGAGTTCAAGTCCTGTCTCCAACATATACAGGCTGTTTTGACCTTGGCCAAGTGACTTAATTTCTCAGTTTCCTGGTCAACTCTAAAGGCCACAAGATGCTGAGGTAGTTTCTTCTTCTGGGAGTTCCCTATAGGTCTAGTGCCTATCTCTTCCTACTGTTCATATCATAATTACTTCAACTTTAAAACAATCTTTGATTTGAGAGCAGAGGGTAAAGACTGCTGGTTAGGGAGGGAAAGGGAGGAAATAAACTTTTATATAGCACCTACTGTGTGCGAAGCACTATGCTAGACGTTTTATAAGTATCATTTCATGTGATCCTCACAGCAGCCCTGTGAGGTAGATGCTGTTATTATCCCAATTTTTTTCACTTGCGGGAACTGAAGCAGAGGTTTAAGTGACTTGCCTAGGATTACACAGCTAGTAAGTGTTTGAGGCTGAATTTGGACCCCAGGTCTTCCTGACTCCAGGCCCACCACTCTATCCACTGAGCCACCTAGCTCCCTAGCAGAACAAATGCTTCACTGTAATGCAGTGAAGATGTTTCTTGGGTTGAAGACACATGGCAGCATCATAAGATGAAGTGTTAAGGGGCAGCCAGGTGGCTCGGTGGATAGAGCAACTGGGCTTGGAGTCAGGAGGATCTGAGTTCAAATTTGGCCTCATACTCCAACTAGCTGTGTGACCCTGAGCAAGTCACTTAATCACAGTTGCCTCCAAAAAAAAAAGAGATGAAGTGTATACACACCCTCAGATTGAGAATGGGAAAGTGGAAAAAACAGGTTCAGAGTTCCCTTGGGTTGAATAAATTGAATGCCATATTAAAAACACAGGTTAAGTCATCCAGTATAAAATAGCTTCAGATTTTGCACAGAGCTAGCTAGGCCTTCTTGGTTTTAATGGTAGATGACACATAGTTTCTGTATTTTCCTTCATCTCTTATGTGACTATATCCGTCTCTGCCTCCCTGTTTCTGTTTGCAGGGGAGAGGAGGACACACTGAAGGGAAACTGACAATGCCATAGTAGTCATAGTGAACACTTGTGTTTCCAAGAGCTTTGAAGTTGGTTCCTCTGTGACTTAGAGTTTTACCAGAAAGCAAGGGGAGGGGCTTCAGTCTCATCCCTGGTTTTGTATGAATCAGACTCACAGACAGGTGTGTTCACAGGGAAGGAGTGAGTAGGTTGGATTGTCCTTTTGAAGGTTGATTCTAATTATACAGAAGCAGCTTCAGGTGATTTGCTTTTTTTTTTTTTAATGCTGTGGAAATATGAAGATCACAGGACAGGAAAGGAGACTCAAAAGTTCCTTTAAAAAAGAAGGGAAAATTCCGTTTTCCTGTTAATGGAGCCTCCAGACCTATGCTGCAGAGGTTTCTTATCTCAAGCACTTTGTTACTTTTGTCTTTGTCACTGAGAACCTGTAGCAAGACCATGAACTAAATGAAAAGGTGTCACCTCAATTTGTTTTTCACTTTATCAAAAATAAGTTATTCTTCTCCAGTCTTGTTTGTGAAGGTACCCAGGTCTTATAATCTCAAGCTTCTCTTCTGAACTGTCCTTTTCTCCTCCAAACCTTTAAAGGGCCACAGGGTTTGCCTAGGGTTATATAATTAGTTGAGCTGGGGGCATGAGGTCCTTAGTGGTCTAGAATATAGGAGAACAAGAGCAAGGGTGGTATGTGGGAAAGGTCTTCGCAGAATTTCTGCCCATCAGTTATAGGTTAAGCACTTTCCATCCCATCTTTATATCATAGGTTCTCAGTGAAGTGAAGCTGACCTCCTTAGAAAATGTCTTATTTGAAACTTCCAGGCAGGTGGGTGACACAGTGGATAGAGCATTGGACTTGGAATTAGGAAGATCTTGGTTCAGTTCCTACTTTAGACACGCTAGCTGGGTAACTCAGAGCAAGTCACTTAATCTCATCTGTAAAATTGAGACGTTAGCACTTCCCTCACAAGCTTGTGAGGATCTAGGAAGCCTTTAAGTGCTACGTAAATGCTTGCTATTATTTTCAAAGTTTGCTGGCTCATTACTGTGCAAACCAAAAGCCTACATGCTTTAAAGTCTTCCATGAAGACTTAGGTTTTCCTATTTTCTATTTAGAGACATGCAACCTCTGAGCAAAAATAAACCAAGAAAGGGTATTAGTGTCTGTGAAAGTTTGTTCCTCAGCTTGAGACTCCACAGAGGTATTTGCTTCTGTCCCCCAATTCCTCCAAAGTCCCCTCCCTACACAAGTTTTACATTCCATTTTCAATCTTCAACCTGTTACATGACCCTGTTACATGTCATAAAACTTTAAGGCAGTGTTTCCCAAGGGGGGATGTCCTGATGTCTCTTAAATTCTCAGAATTCATTCTGAAATTTGACAATGATTCGTAAAGAGCCAGCTCACCTTTTCTGCTTTGCCTTATGCCTCTATTTCCCTAAAACCAGTGGGTCCCAACCTTTCAGGTCCTAGAAGACATGTCTCATGAAGTCTCAGGAAAAAGGAATTTTCTTAGAACTTTGTGACCCTTCCCCCTGCGTGCCCAATAAATTGGAGATGCCCAGTATGGCATGTGCTGCACCCTTATACAAGAAGTTTTATTTCTACTAAGAATCAGTTGATAGGTTGGATAAGGATTGACAGATTCACAAATAGAATCCTAAGCAAATCCTATTCCATTCCTGTGATCCTTAAGATAACTTTGATTGTTTAGAGGCCCAGGCTAAAAACACTTAATTAAGCCTAATATTTTACCAGCTGGATGTGTTGGTATTTGTAACACATCCGATGTCTGTAACAGATTCAATTTTCATTGCTGGAAACATTCCCCCCCTCCCCCTTTGCCTTGAGAGTGTGCTCTAATACCATAGTTAACCAGAGAAAAGCAAATGAAAATCACTCAAACCAAAATGTGAACTTGAGATAACTTTACCTTGATTCAAGAGAAACATGAAGGAGGTATCTACATTGGTTGCAAATTGTGCATCAAAGAAAATAACAGAGATGTTTTCCCATTTTCTGTCCCAAAAAAGGAGTCTACCCTGTGTCATATTTATAGAGGGGAAAGGTAGGTTGGATAAGTAGTCTGGACTTTTGCAAAGGAGAATCTTCATGGAATATGAATGGAATGGAATATGGGGACTACAGATGCTGGTAGTTAGGAGGCAGCAGTAATTTGTTATAAAATTAAGAAGCCCCTTTGTCAGTTCATTGTTGAGTACTGTGCCTTGGACATAGGTGATCAGTAAATGTGAAATTAAGTGAGCATCTATAGCCTTTTAACCAGAGACTCCATTACTGGGTTTATACCCACAAGGAAGCTATCAGTTAAGGAAAAAAATCTCCATAGCTTTCCAAAGTACTTATAGCACCACTTTTTTGTGATAGCTAAGAATTGGAAACAACATAGGTACCCATTAGTTAGGAAATGGCTAAACAATTTGCAAATTAACATAATGGACTATTACTGTGGTGTAAGAAATGTGGGTGATAAATACAGAGAAGCCTGGAAAGATCTCCATGAACTGATGCAAAGTGAAGTAAGCAGAGCCAAGAAAACACTACACACAGTAGCTCCAACATTGTAAATGGAAAGAACCAAAACATCAAAAGTAAATGTAACAAAATTATTAAGATCAAATGAGACTCGAAGAGATTTGAGAAGACATCCCAACCTACCCCTTTGTGGAGGTTTAGACATTGCATGTGTTTTCAGATTTTTTTCAGCGTGTTGATCAGTTGTGCTGACTTTTTTTTCTCTAAAAAATACTGTTTGTTGTATGGGATGGCTGTCTGGGAAGTGGAACAGGAGAGATGCATGGAATACTATGGTGATGTAAGAAAAATATCAATAAAAACTTTTTTTAAAATTAGATGAGGGTACTCATCCTCCAACAGTGGTCAGACCTGGAAATTACTACGTGTTTAAGCCTATAGTCTGCATAGGTAAAGAGGCATGATTTGATTGGGTGTAGGAAGGCCCATCAGTAGAATGTAAGCTCTTTGAGGGCATGGACATTTTGTTCTTGTTGTTTTGTCTATCCCCAGCATCTACCGCGGTGCTTAATAAATAATTGTTGAATTTAATTGAAGGCTCCTGCCTTATGCTTTTTAGCTTCACCATCCTTTCCTCTTCTAAATTTTAAATATATATAAATATATGATATATAAATATTATTTTAAATATTATATAAATAAAATAATAAAAAATTAAATACTGTGTCAGATTGTTTCCTGCGAGAAATAAGATGTTATGCATTATTAGTGATTTTCATTTTTGATGTAACTGAGCTTATCAGAGCCTTTCTAAATGAGATCAAGTAAAATATGAGCACATAGATGCTGACAAAGTGGGAGCACAAGGCTGTAGGTACCCATGCTACCTCTGGGTGGTGCCATTGCATTGCATGAAGGTCTCTTCCACACCATCACATTATGAAAAAGGACCTGAGTTTGCTTGACTGTCATCCTTCTTCACCTTTTTGGGAAAGCTTTGTCCACAGGGTGGGAGCAAACTGCCCCTCTTCAGTTAGGAAAACCAGCTACGCTGACAGCTTTTTGTCTTCGTTTGTCAGTACCCCACAATCACCATCAACACTTCAGGGAATTGAAAGGCATCCTTAATAACCTTGCATCAGTACCATCTGAACCAGACTAATGCATAGTGACTTAGGAGGTGGTAAGAGGACAGAGGATTTGTAGCAGGTACTCAAAAGACCTGAAACTTCAGCACTAGCAGACTGGAAAGAGTACTAAAGGAACTTTCTACATTCAACACTTGCATAACTTCTTTTCCCCTTCTAAGCTAAATTCATTTTACTCTCATTTGACGTG